CAGAAGATAGAAGTCCTGCTTGAGAAGTTCAAAGGCTTCAAAATGCTTCCTAGAGAATCATTTGATATGTTGGATGAAAGATTCCACAAAATCTTAAATGATCTTGCCTCACTTAACCACGTTCTTTCTCCCAAAGAAAAGAATGTAAGGTTGCTGAGATCTCTTCCAACTGAGTGGTACACCAAAGCCACAGCCATGGAAGAAGGAAGAAACCTGGAAAACTACACTGTCCAGGGTCTTCTTGATGAGCTCAGAACCTATGAGCACGAGCTGAAGAAGAAGAAGGAAGAACAAGTCACTCCCTTCCCCACGGCACTAATGACAACTCCCAGAGTCCCAACAAGTGAAGGGACATGCCCAAGAAGCTGTGACACACCCTCCTCCAGCCAGCCGTCAAGCTCAAAAATGGAGAACTACGATGAGGAATTTGCCATGATTGTCAAGCAATTCCGAAAGTTCAAGAAGTTTTTCAAGAAAGCTGACTCAGTCAGAAGGCCATCCAAGGGAAAGCCACAGGTAAGTGACTCTCCTCCTGAATCTTATTTGTGTTATAACTGCAGGAAGCCTGGCCACTGGAAGTCAGCATGCCCGTACCCAAAGGTGGAGAAGTATGGAGAGAGAGAAAGGAACGAGAAGAAAAAGAAGGCAATGGTTGCTGCTGAGAGTGACGAGTCATCCAGCTCAAGCTCGGATGAAGAAGCCCTCGTCTGTATGGAGCGCAGAGTTGAAAAGTCCAACCAAGAGGATAGGTGGACTATGTCAGAAGATGACACTCTCTGCCTAATGGCCAAAGATGATGCTGATCAAGAAGTAACTTCACAAACCTCCTGCTCATCTTCTTATGAAAGCATACCAACTTCTGAAAATCTTTTTGACCAGTTCAAAAAGATGATGGTAGATTTTGAGGAAATAAATCTCAAACATTCTTCCTTAACAGAGGAGAACAAACTATTGAGTGAAGAGAATCTCAAGTTGACTGAAGGTCGGAAAAGTCAACTGGATGAAATCACTCAACTCAAGACTGCAAATGAATCTCTCTCTGAAAAGGTGAAATCCCTTAACAAAGAACTACGGATACTTAAGTCTAAGGAAGCAGTGGATAAGCTTCTTGAAACGACCAACAATAAGGGTTGTAAAGGACTTGGGTTTGACCCCTCTAGTTCTAAAAGGAAAGGGAAAACAACTTTCATCCCTCCTAAACCTACTGCTAAACCAAATAAGCAGAAAGGAAAGGAAAAGGAGAAACCAACAGAAGTTCCCAAAAAGGTAGTCCCTCCTAAGAACTATAGGAAGCTGGACAGACCTCAAAGAGGAAATAATTTCAGACGAAAACCTTCTAACCCCCATTATACACGAGGCTATACTCATTATGGGGTAGATAGAAGTTTTCCAAGAAATTCTGAGTGGAGAACTATGCCAAGATATAGTCATCCTCCACCCCAGAAACTATTTGTGCCACCTAAGTATGCTTATAACCGACACAGGCCACACTATGCACAACCTAGACAAAACTATAGGTCTTACCAACCTAGGTTTGCTAAGAGGAAACAGGAAATTGCACCTCCTGCACGTAGGAAGTTTTATGCCTACAACTATGATTACAATCCCAACAAGTTTAGAGCTGCAAGGAAAATTCCCTGCAACTTCAAACTTGATGTAGGGACACACACCATTAACTACTCCGGACCCAAACTTAATTGGGTACCAAAATCTTCCTCCTCCTAATGCAGGAAGCCACTAAGTACCCAGGTGTCTGGTACTTAGACAGTGGCTGTTCAAGACACATGACGGGTGATGCGAGCCTTTTGAGCAATCTAATTCCCTATGATGGTCCAAGAGTTACTTTTGGAGGAAGCAATGATTTTGGACTTACCAAAGGGCTAGGAAATCTGGTGTACAAGGGACTAACCATCCAAGCTGTTTCTTATGTAGAAGGTCTCAATTATAACCTTCTTAGCATAAGTCAGTTTTGTGATAAAGGTTATTCCTTGGAATTCTGCAAGGACATGACATCTCTCAAGAACATCTCCACAAATGAAGTCATTCTCACTGGGAAGAGAATCAGAAACATCTATGAAGTGATGTGGGATAATGTCAAGGAAGCATGTCTAATTAGCAAAGGTGACACTAACCTTCTATGGCTTTGGCATAAGAGGTTGAGTCATCTCAACTTCAAAACCCTCAACAAGCTGTCCAAAGAAGGGTTAGTAGAAGGTCTTCCTAAAGCCGCATTCAGAAAGGAAAGTATCTGTGATGCTTGCCAGAAAGGAAAGCAAGTCAAGTCCAACTTCAAGGCAAAATCGGCACCCTCAACTACAAGGATATTAAGTCTTATTCACATGGATTTATTTGGCCCTGTTACACCAATAAGTCTAAGTGGAAAGAAATATGTCCTTGTGGTAGTTGATGATTACTCAAGATACACGTGGACAATCTTCCTCAACGGCAAGAAGGAGACTCAAGGGAAACTCACCAACTGCATGAAGCTGATTCAAAACCAAGCAAGTCAGACTATTCAGAAGATCAGATCTGACAAAGGCACAGAATTCCTGAATGAAATCATCATTCACTACTCTGAAGGAAACGGAATTCTTCATCAGACATCTGCAGCAAGGACACCTCAACAGAATGGTGTAGCTGAAAGAAGGAACAGAACCCTGAAGGAAGCAGTAAGAACCATGCTAGCAGAAGCTTCCTTACCAAAGAGGTTCTGGGCTGAAGCTGTTAACACAGCCTGCTATACTCAAAATAGGAGTATGATTTATAAAAGGCACAACAAAACTCCCTATGAACTGTGGAATGGGAGAAAGCCTAATATATCATATTTCCATATTTTTGGGAGCAAGTGCTTTGTGTTGAACAACGGGAAGAATCATCTGAACACTTTTGATGAGAAATCAAATGAAGCCATCTTCCTAGGATATTCCATGGTGAGCAAGGCATTCAGAGTTTTCAACAAAAGAACCATGATCACTGAAGAGTCAATACATGTTATTTTTGATGAAAAACATGTGGTTGATAAACCATCAAAGCATGATCATGAGGTTCTGGATCTATCAGACAAGGATGAAGAAGTCAATGAAGGGGATAGAATGAAGCCTACGGAGTTCATTCCATTCAGAAGTCTGCCACTGAAGACTTCACGGAGAAATCCGGATTCAGACAGTGCTGAGCTTTCCGGAAATGTTGGTCAGCCTTCCAATATTCCGGATACTTCAAACGGCGACAATTCCGGAAATGGCGACCCAGTGCCAATCTATCCGGAAACACCAACAACCTCTGTTCTTCAACCAGAAGCTGAACTAGATCAACCAGTCAATCCCAATCAACACAATCTTCGTTGGTTAAGGGATCATCCTCCTCAACAAATCATTGGAGATATTCAATCTGGTGTTCGCACAAGGAGTGCCCAACAGAATCTAGAAGCTATGCTTGCTTGTTTCATCTCACAAGTGGAACCAAAGAATATTGAAGAAGCTCTAGCTAATTCTGATTGGATCAATGCAATGCAAGAAGAACTCAACCAATTCTCCAGAAATGACGTCTGGAAACTTGTTCCCAGACCTACTCATCAACATGTCATTGGGACAAAGTGGGTCTTCCGGAACAAGATGGATGAGAACGGCGTTGTTGTCAGAAACAAGGCCCGGTTAGTTGCAAAAGGATATTGTCAAGAAGAAGGTATAGATTTTGATGAAACCTTCGCTCCAGTTGCTAGACTTGAAGCTATAAGGCTGTTTCTAGCCTTTGCTGCTCATAAGGACTTCAAGGTCTATCAAATGGATGTCAAGAGCGCATTTCTCAACGGAAACCTCGAGGAAGAAGTTTATGTGGAACAACCTCCAGGATTTGAGTTACACACCAAGGGAGATCAGGTGTATAGACTCAAAAAGGCGCTATATGGACTCAAACAAGCACCAAGAGCTTGGTATGATACATTGTCTCAATTTCTTATAGACAATGGATTTTCCAAAGGAGTCATTGACAAGACATTGTTCAAACTACAAGATGGCGAAGATCTCCTACTAGTCCAAATTTATGTGGACGACATCATATTTGGCTCAACGAAGGAAGATCTCTGCACCAAGTTCTCAACCCTCATGCAAGGAAAATTTGAGATGAGCATGATGGGGGAACTCAACTACTTCCTTGGCCTTCAAATCAAACAGAGAAGTGAAGGAACTCTCATCAATCAAGCCAAGTATACAAGTGATCTTATCAAGAAATTCAAAGTTGATCACAAAACATCCGTTTCTGTCCCCATGAGTACATCCACCAAGCTTGATATGGATGTAGATGGAAAGGATGTAGATCAAACTCTCTACAGAGGAATTGTCGGATCTCTACTTTACCTTACTGCAAGCCGTCCGGATATCTCATATGCAGTAGGTGTTTGTGCCAGATTCCAGTCAAAGCCAAAGGAAAGTCATTTGATAGCAGCTAAAAGAATTCTTAGATACCTCAAAGGAACTCAGAACATGGGTTTGTGGTATGCTAANACAACTACTGGACTATGGAGTCAAGACAAAGGAAGTGACAATCTTTTGTGACAATCAAAGTGCTATAGCCATCTCTCAAAACCCAGTGCATCATTCTCGCACTAAGCACATTGATGTCAAGCATCACTTCATCAGAGATCATGTGGAAAAGAAAGATATCAAAATTGAGTATATCTCAACTGAAGAACAACTGGCGGATATCTTCACAAAACCACTATGTGAAGCCAAGTTTTCCGATTTGCTTCACAAAATTGGTCTAATTCAATTAGACTGAGTGCGGTACACGTGGCGGACTACTTTCCACGTCTGTCAATACATTGGGTGGGCACGTGGCCCTTGGGAATAGTCAAAAACCCAATCGCCACTAGCCGCAAAAATCGCCCAATTTAAAACCCAATCGCCACTATTCAGATCTCAACCACCCACTCAAAATTGCTCGTCGTCTTCTTCAAGAACTCGCAAGAACCCTAAGTCTCTTTCTCTCAAATTTTCACCCAAATTTTTGAGAAAATGAAGGTTGTCGGAGCAAATGTTCATTTCAAGAAGTTAGAGGCCAAGTGCTCTTTATCGACATTCTTTCAAAGCTATATGGAGATGATAGGCGCTCAAGAACTCTCCGAATTTCTTCAAATGGAGATTCGCCTCAAATTCGAGGAAGAAGTTCTTGAATTCTACAGGAATGGAGAAGTTAAGTCTGCTAAATCAAAGAAAGACCCACAGAGGACGTTTCCAGTCATCAAATCAACTGTGGGAGGAATCAAAGTGAAGCTTTCGCAGAAGAAATTGGGAGAAAAGCTTCGCCTTCCCAATTCTGGAGTTGAAGTTGGAAAACTTCCAGTCAAAAATCTGGACTGGAAGGTCATTGGAATTTCTGGGCAAATTCCTTCTGGCCCAGCGAAGAAAGCAGATCTAAACAACGATTACAAATTGATTTTAGAATTAGTCATCGCCTGCCTCGAATGTGGAAGTGGAGGTCACGCCGATGACATCACCTAGGAGAGAGCCTTTATCATCAACACTCTCATTACCAAAACCAAGGTAAACTGGGCTGCACACTTTTTCAATTCCATCTCAAAGCATGTGGGAAAGCCAAATCAGAAGTATCTCTGTCAAGGTCTCTATATTGGACATGTTTTGGAGTCCATGGGAGCTGCAGTTAAAGGAAGGAAGTATGAAACCAGATATTGGCTGTACTATCTGTCTTCCAAAGGAGAGAACAGAGCTAGTGCTAGTGCCACTGCAGAAGAAAGCTCTTCAGACAATGTGCCACTCATCTTGTTGGCAAAGACTGCCAAGAGAAAGCAAGTGGTGTCTCCCTCCATCAGCATTGAAGCACCACAAAATCTTGCCTTAGCATGTTTGGAAGAAGAAGAAGAAGTCTCTAACCATGGAGAACTTCAAAGGAAGAAGAAGAGGAAAATCAACTCTCCATCAACATCCGGAAATGTCAATCCGGATGAGTTGAAGGAGAAGGAGCCTGCTGAGGAAGTCTCTGTTCAGAACCAGAGTCCTCAACAACTTGAAGAAGAAACTCCTCAAGTCCCAAGCCTTCCAACCTCATCTTCTCAGCCTCAAACAGATGATGCTGAAAACAAATTCTGGCAGCTTTACTATAATTGGAGAGCTTGGAAAGTTGGAAACTCAGAAGAGCAACTGATGGATTAGGACCAACAGCTGAAGAATGAGAAGGTAATTAAGAAGTGCCTTGGTATTCCAGTCAACCACAACTGTGAAGATATTTTGAATGATTTCTGGGTATGGCAAAGAGACTCGGAAGATCTGCATATGGAGTACCTGGTCTCCACACCAGTTTCAGACTATGAAGCAGATGATGAAGACACTGCAGTCTTCAAGCCAGTCTTCGCCAAAGCCACAGAAGATCAAGTCGTTTTCACTGTTGAAGCACAGAATGTTTTGGAAGCAGCAGCTGAAGGTTTCCAAACATTTCCGAAAACCTCACCTGCTTCTGAAGTGGTTCTGACTGAGGCTATTCAGGAGAAGGCAGCCTCTCCTCCACAAGAACAGAACAAGGAAGCTACTGAAGAAGGAGAATTTCAGCAGCTAATCCAATCTCAAGTTTTAGAGATCCTCACAACTCCTTGTGAGATCTCCAACCAGCCAGAACTTGAGATCTCCAAACAATAGCGCAAGCTGTTGAAGTACAAAGGCATTCTGAAGAAGCTGAAAGGGAAACTCAGATGGCAGAAGTGGAGGTCTCTCAAACTCCAGCAGCCGTCTTTGAAGAACAGAATGCACATGAAGAAAGAGACTCCCTCTCTAGGGACATATCAAATTTTGCCCTTGAAGAAGCTGAGGAAGAATATGAAAGAACATTGAAGGTTACTGATGAAGAAGATGAACAAGAAGATGCTCAATCTCTTCCTATGCAACTCTTCCAAAGAACCCCATCTTCTCATCAGGTAACCCATTTCCATTTTCATAGCTCTACCACTACTACATTTCCGGATGAGATACCGGAAATCTGGACAAAGAAGGTCCAAGGGCTGATTGAATCAGCCCTAGCATCTCAACATGCCTCCTTTAGGCAAGAGATAGAGCAAATGGAAGCCAAATACAGACAACTGCTAGAGAAATCAGAAGAAAAACATAGCACTGATCTTAAAGAAATAAGCAAATCAGTAGACAAAACTCTAGAGATCATCTCTCTATTGAGTAAAACTATAAGCAATACGATGGAAATATATACCTGTGACAGTCAATTGCAATTCAAAGAATTCAACAAAGTCAAGGAACAAAAAGCCAGTGTCACAATTAGTCTACAAAAGCAGATGTCCCTTCTCCAAATGGACATCAGATCAGCCCTAGCAGTAGCTTCAGCAAACCAGGTAGTAGTCAAAGACTACTTGAAGGTGATCATTGACAATCAAAAGGAAGCATACAAGCTGTTCAGACTCATTGGTGCACATACTGGGAACCGCAAGATGGAAGTGATTCTTCAACAACACAATCCATCTCCAATACCCCAGCTACCCATTGCAGTCAACGAAGGAGAAGCATCCTATATCCCTTCTCATCTGAACATGACAAATCTCATCCTTGGAGCACAGCAAAGGAATCCGGAAAGCTCAGCACAGCATCTATCCAGCTCAGGACTGGATGGAACAGAATTTATAGGTGCAGTTGCTGACCACTTCTCAAATGATGCTCAAGCAGAAGAAAGGCGTGAGAATTTAAGGCGCATCAAAGAACTCTGTGGAAACATGCAAGGCATCAGTGAGGTTGCCGGATCTTCCAAGCGCAAGAGAAACTGAAGGTTTATTTCATCAAACCAGGGGGAAAGTATGTGAAATCACCAATTTTGTTTTGATGAAAACACCTTCTTGTTTAAACATTAATTGATTGGTTTAAACATTGTTCTCAATTATGCTTATTATGCTTGATTATGTTTATCTCAAGTATGATTTGTCTTAATTATTTCTCTGAAAGCGCATACATTCAGGGGGAATGTAATTCAGGGGGAACTTTGGCAAACAATTGTTTTTGGCTATGAATTATTGATGAGCTCTAAGCAATGGAAGTCGGATATCTCAGTTTTGGTACTAAAATTGGAATTCTCCGATTCAGGTACTTTACAAAATCTGCCTTCTTAAACTAAGCTTTAATCCTTAATTCATTTTCAAATAGCTCTAAAAGTACTGGCCCTTAGGATTTTTTTATGTAAAGGACTTTGGAAAAATAGTACCACTTTTCTTTAAAAAAAAAAAAATTCATATTTGCTTTGGTACTACCTCGTCCTAAGTAGAAATTAGAACTATAGGGAATGAAAAATGATAGTTTTATTTTGAGCCTTGAGAACCCAATAGGAATAATTTCCCTTTAGTACATAGCTTTCTTTTCTTTTTGGGCCACTCTTTTGGGCTTAGACAAACTAAAACAGTTACGTTTTTCAAACCAAATGAAACTGATTTTCAAATAGGAACAGTTTCAATTCATTGGTAACGGGTAAAAGATTCCTTTTACTTTTCAACTTCTTGGAAGTTGAAACTCCTTTACTCTCACCGTTCCAACTACCCACTTAATGGAACCCGTGAACCTCCTCCTCCCCTATCTAAATCAAGATATCTCAATCCATTTCCATATTAAACAACTCTTTAAAATATGAAAGTCTTCAGTTCACTGTCTGAGAAAAACACCAAGAAAATATCCTCAATGGAGAAATTTCTCTTTCTCACCCTCATAGACGGCAATGGAGAAAAGCCTAGTGAGAAAGAAAGTAATTCAAAGTTTATGGTGCAATTCTCGGCAGTAGAAAAAGTTTATGGTGTAATTCTCGTATTTTTCAGGATTATACCATACACTTTCTCTGGAACAACACTCTCTCTATTTTTTCTTTTTATTTTTACCTTGATCTCTTTCCCCTCCCCTTTCCTTTCTTTACTTTTTCTAAATTTTATTTTTTGAGCAGCCCCTCCCAATTTTCTTACAAGGTTCTTTTGGGTGGTGCCTCTGCTCCCTTCTCTCATCGAGTTCTCAAAAAATTTTTTTGGTGAAATCTTTTTCAAAATTTCTTTTAAAATTTTTTTTTTCATCTTGAAAAACTTTATTTTATCTTTTTCACAATCAATTCTCTTTTCCAAAACCTTTTCCTTCTGTCTCTTTCCTCTCTTCCACCGCCGCCTCCTTTCCCTCCATTTCTCTTCATTTTTCGTTCTTGTTTTTTTTTTTGAGAGATGTGTTGCTTCCTAGATCTTGGTTATCCACTTTGGATAATAAAGATCTATCAAACGCAACGCCAACCGCTCCGCCAAGCAGAATCTGCTGGAGCTGAAAACGGTCAATGGCGGAAGATATCACAAAATCTCAAGACAAGACTTGGTTTAGGAATTACTGTAATTTGAATTGTATTTGCTTAAGAGTTTTTGTTAACAAGCTGTATATTATGAGAAACTAAAAGAAAGTTATAAAATTAGTTCTCAGTACAGCGACCGGAACTCTTAAACACTTGTTTGTCATCATCAAAAAGGGGGAAATTGTTGGGAAAAATATTATAGATTTTGATGATGATGTATTTAGAATGTATTAGGGACTTTAGGTCTCCCCCAATATTCAATGTAATTTTTCTTTTTAGAAATATTGTCAAAACCGAGCTCTTGAGATTTCCAATAAAATTGTGATTATCCTTTAAGCGTTTTGATGCCTGAAGACTAAATCAAATTCAGTGATATGGAAATTGGATATCTTGATCGGAAACGTCAGAGACAAGTAAGGATTTCTCAATCAGATGAAAATCCTCTATTCCGGATAACTACATAAAAACCGGATGTCTCGCTACTACCCGCTCAGGCTAAGTCGGAAGACTAGCGCGGATTTCTTTCTCACCCGGAAGACTCAGAATGACCCCTCCGGATTTGTCAGCTAAGAATCGGAAGACTCATTGAAGCCCGGATTTCTCAAAAAACGGACAAGTGGGAAAAAGACTTGGAAAATTATCTAAGTCCTGAATGAAGAAATTCTACCCGTTGGTAAGGAAAAATCAATCTCTTGATTTT